GACGAAAATTGTTGAATATCAAGCGCGTTGTAGAAAAATGATTCGTCGTTGCGAATGTACTTCTATTAAAAAGTTCTCCTGATTTCTTTGGAGACTGATTACGGCACGCGATGCATATTAGACGAGGCAACGAGAAAGAACTGGTGTTAACTGAAACGCGAGATCAGATGTATCTGATGATAGGCGCAAAAGCGAAATGCTTGCCATTGGATTAGCGTACTATCATTTAAACAGGCATTCCGGATGCGTCATCCGGTCGTCATTAGTAGTGCTCATTGAAGGTCCATTGAAAGCTGGATCCAGTCCTACAGACTAATTACAGTCCGGCGTATACGGTATCGAAAGCAGTCACGGATCTATAAAAGGACTGCGAAACACGTACCATTTCCCCGCATCTACGTATATGCCTGGCATTGTGCAGATTAATGAAACCGAACATTCTATTTTTACGCCGTTCTACGAGTTGATTCTCGGTAATTTCAATACCGATACATTCGCGTCCTTTGGTCAACTTTTACTACGTTTCGATTAGCTTTTCCTCTTTAAGAGGCATTTTATTCCACGCATTCGTCGGTTACTTTACTTTACAAAATATCACCTTCTAATGGTCTTTAGGTAGGGGATAAAAATTTTGTTGACTGTAACTTTTTTATACAATGTAAAATGATAGCTTAATATAAATTTGTTTTATATACTATATATTATAATAGTACAGGAAATCATTATTGATATTGGAAGATCTATGTATTTTAACGTGCACTTGAATTTTTGGCTCGTTCAATAAGTCAATTAACAATCACTGATAAAGCCGTTAAATAATGCCCAGATCGTTAATAGGCTCCTACGCCTGATAGACATTTATTATTTTCATAAAACACGAAGAGGCGAGGGCTTTCAATGGAATTTTTGACGTATCTGCTCACTGGACGAGGTGAAACATAATGCCTCCCAGATCAATGATGATGACATCGAGGTCGAGTGTTTTTATTCCATTACTTGGATAACACCGTCTTCCTAACCACTTAACCTACCGCCTTCATCCTCATCTCCATCACGTCGAAGCTCG